GGGGGGGGGGGGGGGGACAACTAATGTTTTCTATGGTTCTTTACATGGCATTTTTCACATACATGTTCTCAGTGGACCTTCTCAATAATCCTGTGAGGCAGACATTCCTACGACTTTTATCTTTTTTTTTTAAACTATGTGATGCATAGCAGTGTTTTGGGTTTTTTTGTTTGTTTTTTATGTTTTTTAAAAAAATATTTATTCATTTATTTTTTTGGCTGCGCTGGGTCTTCATTGTGGTGTGCAGGATCTTCGTTGTGGCATGCGGGATCTAGTTCCCCAACCAGGGATCGAACCTGGGCCCCCTGCGCTAGGAGCATGGAGTCTTAACCACTGGACCATCAGGGAAGTCCCTACGACTCTTGTCTTACAGGTGAAGACCTAGAGGCTAAGAGAGACTCAATTCTGCACAGAGTGGCGAAGTGGCAGGGGCAGGGCTTCAACTCAGCTTCCCTAAATCCACCTTTTATGCCACTTTCATTACTCTGCCTTGTCTTGCTGAAACAGTTAAGAAAAAAAAGACTTCTGCTTCCCCATGAGAACAACCCTTGAAGGCAGAAAGGGGTAGAATAATTGAAGGTGTACTCTCCATGCAGTCTCCCTGAGAGATCTCTGCTACTCATGTGGCTTTAAATCCCCCATAGAGGGGCCCGTATCTGTTTCTAGCCCTGAGTTCCAGGACACAGTAGCGGCCCTCCCATCTGGATGTCTCACAGTACCTCAAATTCATCAGGTTCCAGGCTGAACTGATCAATTGCTCCTCGTTGTCTCTCCACCCTCCACTCCTGATCTTGGTCAGAAATAGCACACTCTACCCAGGCAGCCATGCCAGAAACCTGGAGAATTATACTAGACACTTCTTTCTCCCTCGCCAGCACCCTTGCCCCAACATCATAAGGATTCCAAGACTTTGAAATCTCTTTTGATCTGCCTCTTCCTCTCTATCCCCACTGCTACTGCCCTATTCCATTCACCATGAAATTTCACTTTGACAAATTCAACAGACTCCTAATGGTCTCTGTGCTTCCAGTAGCAGCCCTCTCAAATCCGCCCGCCTCCAGGTAGATCACCACCAGGGGGATCCAATATGACCATCTACATCCCTCCCCTGCTACCAACCTGCCAATGGCTTCCTGTTGCTTCCAGAAGGGACTGTCAAACCCAGCTGATCAAGAAGATCACTGGGAATGTAGATGGAACATCTTTATATTTTTTAAGTTCCCCAGGTGATCTGAATGAGTCAGCAAATTGGGAAGTAATGGCGTGAGAGGCAAAGTTGACACCCTCAATGATCTGATTCCTGCCTACCCCTCTAGTCATCATTCCTGCCACTTTATCCTCAGCAATGAACATTCCAGTGATCTCAGAAACATACCATATGCTGGCTCACACCTCTGTCCCCCATTAAACTGATCTCTCAGCCTATAATGTTCTTTCTACCTTTGGCCAACCTCTACTGAACCTTCAAAACTGAACTGAGGTGTCAATTCTTCAAAAAGTCTTTCGTGACCTTATCAGGGTGGATTAGCTGTGCCTCCTCTGTAACCCCCATCACACTGCACAGAGTTCTCTATCGTAGCACTTAGCACATTGTGTTGAAATTATTTCCTAGGTGTCTGACTCCCTGGCAAGCCTAAAAGCTCCTCAAAACCAAGGACCACGTTTATCCATCACTGGCAAATGCCTGTAATGTGAGAGGTACTCAGTAAATGTCAACCTGAAATGAACTCGATTTCAAGCGAGGCTCTACATTGACTAACTGGAGATTTGGATTTAGGGAAACTCAGTTCACCTGCTTGGGCCTCAGTTCCCACATCCATAAAATAAGATAATAAATTCCCAGTTTCATTCATACGCCAAACATGTGAATGTCCACTAAGTGCCAGGTACTGGGTTATGTGAAGGTTGAACCAATCAGGTTTTTGTAAACTGTTACACAATATTGCAAATTTTTCTGCAATTTTAGCTTTTGCTTAGTCTCTCTGGACCAGAAATAACAATTTCATTCTATAAAACCAAAGTCTACTAAGCTGTAGTTTCCATTAGGCTCACCAAGGTGTCAGGGTAAAGTCACTCTGCCCAGAGGGAATGGTACTGGCCTAACTGGGATTGGAGGTGCAGCCCAGGAAAGGATAACATACAGAGAACCTGCTCTGGCAGGGGCAGCGCTAATCCTCCAGGGACACAGGAGTAAGAGCTGAGCACCACTGAAGAAAGGTCACTGAGCCCCAATCCTTCTCTCTACTGACCTCTGCCTGACCTGTGCTCAGGTTTCCATGGGAAAGGGTGTGGAGCCTGATGCAGCAGTTTACACTGGGCTCAACAACCTGACTTCCTGAGGCTTATCCAGGACTTCCTGAAGCTTGTCTACTCAGATGAGTACTGGGTCCCCTGAGATATTTTTGGCGATGTCACTGCCAGAGGCAACAGTCTAAAAGTTCAGTCCCACAAAGCCCAGGGAAACCAAATTGATTTGCTGGACCTGAAGAATTTGATCCTAGAGCAGCTCTGGGCTATTCTCTACCAAATTACACTGCTGTTCTTGAGGGCTTGTATCCTGCAGGCCCAGAGGAGATCACAAACGCACTAAAATCCTTGGACTAAAGATTCTTGGACCTGTTCTAATCTCCCACTCTCTCCCATATAGCTGTTCATTCTCTACGGGGAAATTCCAGTCAACAATTGCTTCTTAGAACCCAAAACTCTGCAGGCATCTAGCAATGACAGCATGTGATATAATACCCAATCCCTTAATGCAATCTGATGTCTCATTGGCTCAGAAGTAACTCCTAGCATGGGGGACCTATCAGAAGTTATGCCAAGAGCCAGGCAAAGTGGAGACAGAAGCATTTCCTTTATGTACAGACCCCCGGTAAGCATAAGTCCACTTTCACTGAAGCAGGTTCTTATCAAGCATTCCCTCTGGATACCAGCCAGGTGATCATGCCTACCTCCAAGAAATCGCAAGGTTTGAGCTCTTTGACTAAGAGAAAATAAAAGATGAGACCTGTGCTATCATGTTATTGCACACTAGACATACGGAGCTAGACTTCCAGGATAACATTCGGCCCATGGACCGTCTCAACCACTCATTCAATAAATATTTACTGAGCATCTACTCCATAGCTGGAAAATCAGCCAAAATCTGTCCCTGCAGAGCTCACAGCCTAGTACGGAAGACAGACATATAAACAAAAGAGTTGCAATATGACATTGTATGAAGTCCAGAAGAATCCCAGAGCTGGAAGCCTCAGAAAAGGCTCTCCAGAAGAGGGGACACCCAGACAGGGCTTTCGAAGGATGAAGAAGACAGACAAGGCAGGAGGAAGAGTCTGAGCAGAGGGAACTTGTTAAACATCCCAGAAGAATATTGCTGGAGCCTGAGATAAGATGGGGGTGGGGCATCACGAGAAACGAAGCTAAAGAAGTAGGCAGGAAGCACATCAATATGCCAGGCTGAGGAGCTTGAACTATCTGCTTTAGGAGAGTGAGGAGCCACCAAGGCGACTCTAAGTATTTTCATGTTTTTATTTTGTTGTTACTATTGGTGTTCTTGTTTCGGTTTGTTCTTTGCAGTGAAATGGCCATGACTAAATTTTCAGTTTGGAAAATAACTTCGCGTTGGTGGAAGGGGTTGTGGAGCGTGGTGAGAGACAAGATTACAGGTCACTGAAACCGTCTACATGAGAGCCGATAAAAGCTAGAACAAAGAAGCAGCATGGGGGTACAAACAGCGGATTCAGGGCAATTTCCCAATAGAATAGATTTGGTAAATGTGTGGCTTTTGGGGAGAGGGAGAGAAAAGGAATGATGGCCAGATTTCTATCCTAAGGACCCCAGATCAATGGCATTGCCATCGACTGAGAGGCAGAGCAAGTTTGGGGGCAGCTGGGATGGGACTAGTTCAGTTTAACCATACAGCTGGCAGAGCCACAGGTTCCACAGCCACGGATTCAACAAAGTACATGTCAACAATATTTGAAAAATAAATTTCAGAAAGTTCCCCAAAGCAAAACTTGAATTTTCCATGCTTCGGTAAACATTTACATAGCATTTACATGGTATTTACAAGTATTTACATAGCGTTTACAGTGTATTAGGTATTATAAGTAATCTACAGATTACTTAAAGTACACAGGAGGATGTGCGTAGGTTATACGCAAATACTGTGTCATTTTATATAAGGTACTTCAGCATCCTCAGATTTTGGTATCCACGGGAGTGCAGGAACCAATCCCCCATGGATACCAAAGGGTTACTGTTCTGAGTTTGAAAAGTCGGTGAAATAGAGATGTCCTGCAGATGGTTGGATACATGTGTCTGAAGTTCTCAAGATATTTCAGAGCTAGAAATATATATTTGGGAGTTATAAGTGTGTAAATGATAGTTCACATCTTGGGATTACATAAAAATAACCAAGGCAGAAGATTTATAATGATCACAGAAGATGGTCAAGAAACGGGCAGATCATTTAAGGTAAAAATTAAGGTTTTAAGGTAAAAATAACCTGAGATAAAATAATCAGACGTAAGAGAACCAGGAGAATAAGAGACTGAGAAAGTCAAAAGAGGTTAGAGATCAAGAAGGAGAGAATAAAGAGGAAACAGATGCAAAACACTATGAAAGTAACATAGAACTTGGTAATGAATCGACTCTTCCCTATCCCATTTCTCTTACATCCAGATATGATGACAAGTTGCAAGTTCGGGTGATTAGAAGAATAATGGTATAAATAACAGAATTAGAAACAGAAAGAATAAATAGCTTGGGAGGAAAGCTGATGAGCTTCAGTTAGGATATACTAATTCTGAGATGCAGTCGGGACATTAATCTCTAGTAAGCAGATGGGAATCCGAGACAATCTCAGGAGAAAGCTCAGATGTGGAAGTTACTATTTGAAAAACACCTGTATGAAGGTATCAGTGGAATCAGGGAAATTCTCATGGAAGAGAATATCAAAGTGAAGAGGAAAAGAAAGTATGCAAATGGCCAAGAAGCACATGAAAATATGCTCAGCATCGAGTCATTAGGGAAAAATGCAAATCAAAGCACAAAGAGATGCTACTTCATACCCACTACTACAGCTGTAACCAAGAAGACTGACAATAACAAGTGTTGGTGAGGATATGGAGAAAATGGAACCCCTCCTACATTGCTAGTGGGAATGTAAAGTGGTGCAGGTGCTTTGGAGAAATCAGGCAGTTTCTATGGGAAACAGTTTGGCAGTTCCTCAAAAAGCTAAACATAGAGTAGCCATATGACCCAGCAATTCCACTCCTAGATATCTATCCAAGAGAAATGAAAAATGTTATGTCCAAACAAAATTTTGTACACAAATATTCATAGTA